CGTCTTCTTAATCATAAGATAATGCTATTTAAAATTTTGTATTCGGGTGATGCAATACTTTTGAGCGCCACTGTATACCCACAATCACCTTCTATAATTATTCCCAACAATCCATTCGTTTGATATAAATTCCATCAAGGTCGATAAAAATGTCTCAGGCGAATATAAAAGATTAAACAAAATATATCGAAACGGTTTAAAAACAATTCGTTAATTAAAAAAAAAAAAAAAAAAAAAAAAAAAAAAAAGCTCACATCACGTATCACGACGTATCACAGGCTCTCATAGCATCCGAAATCCGTAAACTTGTTAGCAATAGTGATAAAAGTAAATTAGTTATAGATATTTTTCAAAAACGTATGAAATAACTTGATGCTGAGACTCGCATTAAATGGCTTAGGACTTCCCTCTTTGATAGCATCATATATTTCGTTCGCTACCTACTGAAAAATTAATAAAATTTCAATCGAAAAATTTTTTCTTAGTGCTTATGTTAATTGTATACCGAAGTTTTTTGTCCAATTGTCTTTTTTTGAAATTTAATCATCACTTTTTACACTTTTATAGTGTAATCACGAGTTGTTGCATTAGTAGTACGGTAGTTATTTATTACAACTATGGCGCTACTAGACCGATACCGAGATTCATTCTTCCCTCAGATAATTTTCAGAACATCCTTAAAACAGCATAACTGAGCCCTCGCGTTACAACTGCATTGATCGGTGTTGAAACCCGTGCTTTAACGGGTTGGACAGTAGGCCGAAGCTCAAGGTCGCCCGCTGCAGTGCAGATATCAACTGATGCTCTTTTCGCCAAGGACTAAGCTATCCCAGGTAAAGCAGCTAGAGATCGAAGGTTGAAGCTTCCATTCTTCAAGCTATTTTACCAGTCTCCTGCGTTACAACTGCATTGATCGGTGTTGAAACCCGTGCCTTAACGGGTTGGACAGTAGGCCGAAGCTCAAGCGTCGCCCGCTGCAGTGCAGATATCAATTGATGCTCCTTTCGCCCGGAGATGGGAACCGCAAACAATGGCAGACTATACATACAATGGTTGAACATTTGCTCGGTATATGCTCTACTATTGCCGTTATGCCGTTTGGTTGTTTGCTAGGTGTCAAAATTACAAGCAAAAGCAATCATAGAAAGCAGCTGATTGGATCATTGGAATGTGGTTTGTTACTGATTCAGGAATCGATGATCGTCACATGGATAGCATCATCCAGACTAGAGCCCACGGGTTCGTGCGATGCAAAATTAAAAAATTGTTTAAAAGATAGCGATGATCAGATTTGCTGCTTGTATTATCCGTTTTTTTCTATGAATTTATCCCATTTCCTTGCAAGAAACAGTATGGAGAATACTTATCATAAGTTTGTATTCGATCATTTGAGCGAAATGGATTCCCCTTTGTTTTTTGATCATTTTAAGTTTGCGTACGCGGAGAGAGAAACTGCTCAACGGCTTCTGGCCACCTCTCTCGGTTACTTACAGAATTTTGCAAATGATCCGACAATAAATAGCCTAGCATGTGACAAAGCAATTGAGCTAAAGGTTTTTTTTCTTATCATTGATTATGTATATCTAATAAAGCTGTACTTAACACATTGTATTTCGTATGTTGTACTGTAGAAATGGAAGGAAAGTCGTTGTGCTAATGAATACTGGCAAAATATTGAGATAGAAGAAGCCAAACAAAAGACTCAGGCTGCGGAAAATTTATCAGAGGTAAAAAATAAGCAGTGTTTGGATTCGTGTTTAGAAATCCTTGCTGGGGATTGTCTAATTGTTATCTTTTATTACCGCTTGCAAAGTTGCAAATCGAGGCTACATTACATAAAGATACTGTCTACCATTCTAGTGCAGTATCAAATCTGACTAAAAACAAAATTACCGCATTAAGTAAACGACCAAACTCCGATGTTGATTCTGAAGATTTAAAAAACAACTCCTTTATTGTAACAGAGGAGCAGAGTGAAGCCCCCGAACTTATTGATTCTCTCACAACACCATCACAATACACCGGTTCTATAGAAGATTTAGAACACAACCCCTTCATTGTAACAGAGAAGCAGAAGGAAGCCCCCGAACCTCCCATAACACCATTATCGAACAGGAACGTTCTCAAACATCCCCAGCCCTCACGAGAGAAGTTGGAGGATACCAATGTGGAATTGGTTCTGAAAAAGCCACAGGCTACTGAACAAATCCACCCGCCCGAATATTCCGAAAACCCATCAGAAAAGACTATGCGTGATGGATACTCCACAACTCAAAAACAATATGAAATCGACATCGAGGTATCATTCTTCAGTCTAGTTCTGTACTCTCTTGTTAATGGATTATCTGATTAATTACGTTTATAATAATTTAAAAAGGATGATGATAATGTTGGAAACACATCAAAAAGAAAAACAAATGAAGATGACAATGATGAAGAATTGCTTGAAAATGCCATATTTCTATTCAACGAATCGAATGAAGAATCATTAATCGAAAAGGTTGATGGGAATTCACTATTGGATGAGACTCGATTGCCATTAGGAAATATTAACTGTAGAACACCGGAGGTAAATCTTGGTATAACTGTTTTATATTTGTGTTTTATATTTGTGTATTTGATAAATTTATTATTTTATTATCAATAGGAGTTCCTTGATACAAATTTAATCGAATCATTTAATAAATATCAAAAAAAAATACCGAAAACTCGCAAGATCCTAACGTAAGTTTAGAATCATCATTTTAACATGATCACTTCTCGCTTTTAATATACCGTACGTTTTATTAATTTTAGCCCTGCATATTGGGGAATATTGGATTTAACGAAAGAAAGTTTAAACAACTCCGGAATAAAAAATAAGGAGATTGAAAAATTATCACAGAATTTCTCCAATAAAATCGGATGGACTGACGATGTCCTTGTCTCCAATGAAGTTCAAAAATATTTTGATAATAATTGCGAGAATGTTAATAAAAATGAGATGATTAAAGACCTGGATACTAATATCCAGTATATGTATGTAAACTAAATATATCTGTAAACCAATTTTTTTATTAATAAAATGTTTTATTATTCAGGAAAAACAAGATGTCAAGGAAGAACTGAAGATGTGGACAACAGTTCCGTTATTTTCTGGCATTTTTACGTCGGAAAATATCAAAAACACTTGGTAAATAACTTAATATTTTCTTTAAGTGATAATATAATGATTTTTAATTTATTTTTATGTACGATTTCTTCAAATATTAGGGGTGAAATCCAAGCGATTTCAACAAACAAAGCACGAAACGAAAATGCAAGTCCTTTTTCAAGAGCAAAGGTTGGACATAAAGTCGATATGAAGGGCACATTGATTAAAACGCCAAGTTAATTCGAAGTAATTTACGGAGAAGTTTCTGGGGGACTTGCTTCTTTTGGAATACCTGCATCCTGTCCAAAAAAACAGTATGTTGACAAGGTGAAGTTAATGGTCATGTTGCGAGATAGTCTTAATCAGTTCTTCAAAGATAAACGTCATGTAAAGGATAAACAACGTAAAGAATTAACTGTGTACGGATGGCTACAAATCGGTAAGCGTAAATAGATATGAGTTTCATGCTTAAAGATTATATTAATATTTGATTGTTAGGAATCGAGTTAAAAATATACGCAATGGACTGGCTCCGGAATTTATAGATTTGGTAAATTAGACAAATGCTTGTTACCAGTCGATGAAGATGACTCAAAAATATTGGAAGATGCTTACTGTATTTTAAAATTACTGGAGGTAAATTATTATATTGCTTTTTACTATTATTACTTGGTGATTATATATTAACTAGAATTAATGTAGTCAAAATTACTCGAATCGGAAAAAATAATTAAAAGAATAATACAAGATAACACGAAAAACAAAAGAAGACGTATCGAAACAGAAAACAGTCCTCATTTAAACAAGAACCGAACTCCAAAATAATTATGTAGTACAAAAGCAAATAGTTCCTACAATTATTAGTTTATAAATATAATAAAATATATACGTGTATTGGTTAATAAATGTTAACCCGTTTAATCTAGCCGAAGAGGCATCAGGATAGCAAGACTACACATTCCCGCCCTATTTGTTAACTGAAAATGTATTTTCACAAATTGTGATAATTTATCAATGAAAAAATAGCTCATCATACGTAACTACAGATGAAACCAATTATGAAATTTTAACGCAGAAGGTTTGACAAGCTTGTCCAGCCTCGGCCATCAATTTTAGGAGATAACTTTCTTTTAAGGCGAGGCCTTTGGCTAGAACGTTTTAATAAAGTTCGCCCAACAATTCGGGCTTATATTTTTATTTGCTTTGTGAAGGTGTATGAGAGTGTGTAATATATTTGGAATATGTAATGAATTTCCCCTGATAATTCACTTCATTGCCATTAAATTATCACGACATGCCACACGATTCATTCATTCTTCTGCGCAATTTTGACGAGCTTGTAAAATAATTGCACGTGCATTTTATTCGTAATCATTTTCCCGAATTCCTGTTAAAAAATCCGAAATCTGATTAGCCGATCATCACATATGATACAAATTTTATAGTTTAGCCATTAACCGAATCAAAAAATGTGTTTTCACCCGAACAATCGAATAAAAATAAATATGATATTTTATTATAATATACTTGCTATAAATTGCTATGTCTTTTTCGCTAAAAATGCTATAAATAACTAAATAGCTATAAATTGCTATAAAATCCCTATATCTGTAAAATGGTTAAATTTAATGGTTTGAATCCTGTAGTAGTGTAGGCATTAAATAATCTGCAATATATGTATAGTGGTGAAACACCAGAAATGTGATATTCTTGTGTTCGTTATCCATTTAAGAAACTTCTTGAATATAACCCAAAATACTTTTCCAAAAATGATTTATCTAAATGGTTGAAAGGGTATATATAGATGGGAAATTTAAAGCTAGGGAACGCTCATTTAATATTTATTGCACTGTATGTGATTCTTTAGGATTTATCTTAAAAATACCATCTAATGTGCAAATATTCACCTAAATGAATACATTGCTAAAAACAGCCAAAAGGCACAATACATCTATACAAAAGAATACAAAAAAAGGAGTAGCGCTAAGCTGAAAAGAGTGTCATCACTTAGTTCTGACAAGATATATAAAATTTATCTAACAAATTGTTTTAAATTTAGTAAAGGCTTATCTAATTATTCTTATGCAGATGATTATGAAACTAGAAAAGTATATAAATCATTTAATCAATAGTGCAAAAGTTATCCAAATGGCTTGGAGAGCTTTCAAGTTGAGATCTGAAATATGAGCAAAATGGGTTTGGAATATAGTGAGAAATGATGGTACTCCTGATGAGAAGAAGTTTCTAAGTATAACTTCTTACAAAATAAGAGTTTTCAATGATCGGTATATATACTATAATCGGGTAAGATATAATTATGGAGATAGAATTCAAGCTAAAGACGTATCTGAACATGATCAGCATATTCCTGCATTATGATCAGAGATCAGTTATAGCATACATAGTTGCTTTATATTAAAGTGGATATCAAATTCTGAATATTACTGTATTGTCAAATACCTCAAAAATAGCAATGTAAACTTTGTTAAAAGTTTAGAATATAGATAATATATGTGTAAAATAGCAGGCAAACTATATTTATGTGAATCGCTAAAAATCAACTATTATAAAACTGGATATCTTACTATTGAGAGAAAGCTTAATAATATAGATTTCTTAGATTTAAAAAATAATTGTGAGTATATCACTAGTCGAAATAATTTTTTTTAATTGTTAACGATGCAGTCTAGCCGCAGTACTTTATTATCCCTATAAGAAATCGAAATAAGGAAATGATACGTTTTTTATAAGGTTTGTATACGTAATTAATGATTCTATATC